TAGTCAGGGTGTCCAATAACTGCAAAAACCTGGAAAACCGGGAATCTTCAGGAAACTTTATGTTTCCTTAAAATACCTGGAAGGCTCAGAGAATTTAATAATTTTATTACTAAGGATATTTTAAAGAATTAATTTTAACATACAAGCATTTTTTTTCGTTATTTTCATTCACACTTTGAACATTATAGATAGAGTGGATTAATCTTCAGTAACTAATAAACTAAAAAAAAAACCGAGACTTGATATAAAGTTTTTTTTTTGTTTTTGAACATGCATATTTCCTAGAAATTTTAAATTTGAACTAGTTCTGGACTTAAAAGCGATAATACTTCAAGAAATTTTCAAGAATCTGGAGTCAAGTTCCATGCACAGTTTTAAAAGCTCGTGGAATTTTATTAAAATTTCTTAGGACCTCAATTCAAGGAAGTTCTGGGAAAAAAATCTTTCAGAAAAACATCAAATGCAATCTGCTTTCAAAGTAGTTCTGATGAATTTAAGATTTCTCGTGAAGCCTGATAGTTTTGAGTAGAATTTCATAAAACCCTGAATTGAATTGAAAGCAAATTTTAATGAAAACTCTTAGTTATTTCTGAGGAGCAACTTCTTCAGAGGAAAATTCAAAGGGTCATCTGAGGATAATTCCATAAAGTTTGTGAAAGAAAACGAATCCGGGACATAAGTCCTTGGAATCTTTTTGAAAATACTAAAAGGAGGATTACTATTAAATCTGAGAATAACTCCAGAACATCTTCAAAGGAATTCGGAAAATAAATTCAGGAGAGTTTGCCAAACAAATTATGAGAAGAAATTTAAAGAATTTGTGAGGATACTTTCAATGTGAGTAGAATTCCAAGGGAAGGAGTGAGATTCAAAAAGAAATCTGAAATGAATTCAATGAATATTCGGAGAATCTTTCAAAAGGGTTCCTTATTGTGGTGAATTTCAAGATATTTCCGAGGAAAACTAAAAGAAAATTGAATTCGAAGCTTCATTGAAATGTGGAAATCAGAATGGACTATTCTGAGGTTTTCAAAAATACTTGAATGTTCCCAAATTTGTCCTGAAGTTAATGAAACTGCTTTTCAAGTTCTTTTTTGTTGAGAAACAAGCCTGATGCTCACAATACTTCTCATTAAATTCATAAACTTCCGTGATCTTTATAGGACTTCCTAAAGTTTCTCAATTTTTTAACGATCATAGATCTCTTCTAAAGGTTTAACAATTCGCTAAAGTTCTTTAAACTTCTTTAAAATGTATGTGACTTCTCTAATGTTAACAGAACTGCTCTTATGTTCTCTGTTTTTTTTTCTGAAAGTCTCAAAACTTCTCTAAGGTTTTTGCAGTTTTCCTGAAGGTTGTTGTACTGCGCTGAATTTAATTGAACCATCCTAAAAATGTTTAAGATTCACTGAACTTCTAAACTCATGGAAAGACCTTAGTTAAATTTTTAACGTATCTGAAGTTATCTGAAAATCTGGGAACTGCCTTAAATTTTCACTAATTTTCTTAAACTAATGGAGCTGACCTCTACCTGAAACTCTTCCAATTTTCGAAGGTTACTAAATTTCTTTCAAATGCTCCCGCATTCTGCTAATGTTCTTACAAATTCCTGAAGTTCACAGATCTCCTCTTAAACTCCATAGATTTCTATGAAGTTCTCGAAATGTTTCTGAAGATCATGAAACTTCCCGAAATTTATTGGCACTAATTTGAAAATTTTTCAATAGTCTAGACTTTCCTGGTGGTATTAAAACTACCTAAACGATTATTGAATTTCTTAAAAGTTCTCTAGACTGCCCTGAATTTATCAGTATTTTTTAAGAACCCGCAACTTTACTGAAATTAAATGATTTTTCTTGAAGTTTCAACAATTTTCCTTGCGTATTCTAATAATTATAAACGCTCACTAATTTTCCCTGAACTTATCTATGCTTACCTAAAGCTCTCTAAATTTGTTTGATAATCCTTCAAATTTGCTTAAGTTATTGGGATTATTCTGAAGCTATCTGATCATCCTCGAAGTACTCGGAACTTCGCTGAATATCATGAAACTATCTAAAAAATATCTAAATGTATTACAAGTTCTCTGGATTTCTTTGAAGCTTGCTAAAAGTTCTCACATTTTTTTAGTTAATGGAACTTCGTTGATGTTCTCTCCCTGATATAACACCCTTAAAATACTCTTACGTTTCCCGGATGTTCATATAATTTTTATCACGTTCCAGAAATTCTTCCGGAGCTTTGCTGAAGTTTCCGGGGACTCTCTGAGTTTCTCGAAACTTCTTTAAGGTTTCTACAATTCCTTGAAATTATTTGATCTGCCCTTTGATTCTCTAATCTGTCTTGATGTTCCCAAAGCTTCGCTAAAACTCTAAATTCTATCGAGGATCTCTCAGTTCTGCTCGGAAATAAATGGAATTCTCGTAAACACCTTTAAATTTCCCTCAAAATCTCTGGGCTTCTGTGAAGTTCCTGAAATATGTCTGAAGCTTTCATAATTTCTTTGAAGGCCTCTGTACATCCCTGAATCGGAACATCTGAATGGTTTTCGACTTTTTTTCAGCACATCAATTTCTAAATTTACGAATATAGATCTTTAAACTGCTCCAAAAGTCTGGACTAAACCTACGGAAACTGCTCTTAAGATCTGAAATTCCCCAAAGATCTCTAGATCTAGCTTTTCTGAGATACTTAGAACTTCTTTAAAAATTGCGCAATATCCCTCATGTTTTCTATATTTCTCAAGTTCGCTTGATACCTGTGAAGTTCTCTGAAATTCTAGGAACTTCATAAAAGTTCCTGGAAATTTTCGGATGCTAAAAGAACCGCTTTGAGATTCTTAAAGTTTCCAGTAGTTTCTCATATTTTCAGCGTATTAACTTCCCTAAATTCCCGCAGTTTGTTTATAGAGCTTCACTGAAACTCTCAGCATTTCTTTTTATTACTCAGAACTTCTCCAAAGTTCCTATCATTGTTGTGAAGTTAATTGAAGATCTCTAATCTTTCATAAAATTAATTACGGACTTGAAATAAATCATTTATTTTTTTCTTGATTCTGGCACTTTGAAAACCTTGAACTTGCACATGGAATGCGAAACTTCAAGATATTGAATAATTTTAGATCTTGGACTTACTCAAATTAAGTATGTTTTTTTTTAACTTTATAAAGAGAGAAATTAAGTAAGTGTTAAACTTCAACATTCAATGGATTTGATTGAAAAGCTGTTTCATTAAAACTGATTGCCATGTCTTAAAAACGTTTGGGTAAATTGCTATTGTTTTGATCTATAAAAAGCATATGCCTGGAAAACTCAGATAATTTTATTTAGAAAGATGAGTAGACAGCCTATAGATATAGAAAGACGATTAAACGTCACAAAGCAAAGAATGATCAATCTTGAAATAAATTCACGCTAAAAAAGTTGAAAATAGTGACTGATAACACTAACAAGTGACATAGCCTTAAAAAAGAGACTTTTTAGTGACTGGCTTGAAAAAAGTGACCAAGTCACTAAAAAGTGACTTGCTACCAGCCCTGAATACCCTACAATATGGGTATGTTTGGAACGGGGACGACGAGTAGATGCCAAAAATAGATGTCTGACGCCATATCGGAATCTAATATGGCGGTCAGTGATCCAAAATAAGTGCCAAATATTCTACAATATGGGTATTTTCGGAATAGGGACGACCGGTAGATGCCGAAAATTGATGTCCGACACCATTTTGGAATCCAAGACGGTGCATCGGGTTCAAAAAAGGTGTGAAAGTGGGTATTTCCAAATCTCTAATTCTAAAAATACTGACAAATGAATTCTGTGGAGTGTTTAATTATTTTTTAGGAGCATTCCTATAAACTTGTTAGGAATGATCTAGGAAATCGAAAAAGAGCTCGAAGGGATTTCTGAGGAGCATTCTGAGGGAATTCTGAGCAGAAATTTCAAGGAAATTTCGAGCAAAATTTCAAGCAAACATGGAGGAGCATTCCAATGTATTTCCGACGATAGCTTCAAGGAAATGCTGAGAAGAGAATTTAAGTCATATGAGTTTTCACAAAACATACAACAATGAACCTGGAACTTTACGTTTCATGTAGTACAAATAAGGAATTCTAATTGCATGGGCGATGTCGCAACACTGTCCGAGATTTGTTCTCTAGAAAGTTATCCATTATGACTACCCCGGAATTACCCTAATGACGAACTGCACTGGACATATTTAAGGTTGTTTTCCGATAACTTCACTACTGTTCGTATTTTTATTTTAAAATCAAATCTAGAAATCTTTAAACAAACAAATGTGGTTCAAAGTGAGTGGGAGTGATCGATAAAGACTTTATCTGAGTAAGCTATGTCAATCGGATCTGTTTTGCATCAAATTCGGGAGCTCAACGACCCAATCGAGTCCGCGAGCTCCTAAATTTAAAGTAAAACAACCCTAGTACTTTATTTTTAATCTCTTACTCACATCGCACGCCTCTCAAATATTGTACGTGCTCTCTTTCTTGAAAAATCGAATAGCGCACAGCATTACTGTTTGTGTGACCTGCGGTATCCCTGCCTTTTATTGTCATATTTTGATTTTAAAATTTGAATAGTACTAACATCACGACGAAGAATGGATGATATTTCAGTTGACCAGATTTGACCCAATCTAAAAATGGGCAATATTGAATAATTTGTGAATTTTCGACAAACATAATCCCGCAATAACTTAAATTCTAGCAACATTCTAGCCATTAATGTGACAATACAATACTAATCACTCCTTTACCTAACTCATACATTGTTGGATGAGGGGATTTGTGGTATGTCCTCAAATTCATAGGCAAAAGAGTACGCGTTTGACTTGCTCACATACTGTCTGCGGCTGTAGAATAGTTCCAGCGACGTTTATCACTACCTAAATTATAGCTTTAAATTCAGATCGCAATTCCTTTAAACATGGCACTTGTAATCCGCCATACAAACTATAACCAAAGAATAAACTGCAACACAAACCTGCATCTCCGGCGGTCCACCCTCGTCCCGTATCAGCAGCAGGTAACTCTGGTTATCGATCTGGATTTCCTTCTTGAACCGGCCGCCTTCGGGCGATTCCTCCTGCATGTACGATCCCGTCAGGTATCGGTGAACCAGCGCCGATTTGCCGGAACTGAGACTCCCCACGATGCCGAGTCGAATGTCCGGCACCGACCGTGAGATCGTCCACTCCTGACTGTTGACAAAGGAATCTGCAAAGAAAAAGAAAAAACGAAAGAGAACCGAAATTTAGCAATTGTCAATAGGAAAGGATTTAGGAGCAAAACAGGTTTTACCCCGAAAAGAGGGAAACTGTATCAAAGGTGTTAATGAAGCAACATACGGGTGACTTTGGGAATAATTTCATTAAGACGAACGGGCTCTCCGTTGTTGATGTTCACTGGAGATTGAAGGGATTTTCGGTGGACAATGGCCAGGGAACAAGTTTCATTAACACTTCTTTTCAAGTGTCAATCTCGTGTGTCACACGTTTCAGGTCTTCTTGTCTTGTTGTCGAAAATAAAGGAAAACCAGGACCTTGGACCGGGAGAGCACAAATCTGCTTGTAGTTAATCAAAGTTAGATTATGTTTTGATATGTCCTCACAGCAGCATCCAGGCAAGAGCAGAAGCCAGGAGCGAATAGCAACAGGGAAATTAGGGAACAAGATGCTTGAAATTTGTTTTCCTTTATTGAAAAGCGAATGACACATTCACACTGGTCAAGCGATTTGTTCTGGTTTTCGGGACGATCATCTTCAACTGCGAAGGGGGAAAAACAGCGTGGTGCCACCAAGAGGGAAAAGTCGTTACCATACACCCGTCGTCAGTCGTAAAACAATCAACAGGATCATAAAGCCATAAAACGGAAGAGACCCTCACAACGCTGTCGGTTGACCTGTTTTAGCACTTCGTATTGGTGCACCATCGGTGGACCGTTTTTGGAGAATCGTTTTATTGCTTCAGTCACCCAGTAGCCACAGGACACAGGTAAACTGTGGGTTTTATATGTTACATAAACATTATAAATTCCGAAAAGACGAATATCCGATGAGGGTTTGGGGTCACCGGGTGCATTCGCTTCGATGAACTGTTTATTGGTTGGGCCATATAAATGAAATGTGATCGCTTGATCGTCCGAGGTTGATGAAACATGAGAGCCAGTAACATTGTAAAATAGACAGAAGTGAGTTATTTATCTAGCTGTGCCAACGTCTCAAACACAGCCGAAGGACGGAATCAAGCTGCAACAAGGCGATATTGAAACAACTGAACTGGAATTACAATCAGCTAACCTCAAACTGTCCTTCCAGAGCTTTTTACAAGGCAATTTAGCTAAAAGCAATCGTAAACCCATAAAGTCCAACCGAAGCCAACCGGTGGATATTGTGTCGAAACAATTCCACAACCAACCAAGAGCGAAAGGAAGGTTCATGACAGCCGGAAAGCTCTCCCTTGAGGGCCATTCGGCGAAATTTATGCACCCGGGTCATCGACCACTTCATCGAGCTATAGTAACCAAAATTTAATTCCGCGCGAATCTGCTAGAAACATTCCCGAGCGCCAACCACATCAGCAGACATCTGCTGATGAAATTAACTATATACATTCGCGCGCCAGTCCTGGTTGGTGTGCTAAGAAATCGATCCGCAGTGCGCAATTATTTCGCGCTATTTATTATTCTCTGAATGGATGGTCGTAGCTACTACCTAAATAGTAACAGCGCTTCTTCTACTTCGGGACTAAATAGCCATGCAGCCGAACCAAAAGGGGAACCGAACGCGTAATGTAGGGTAGCGTGATGGTTCATGGTTTGAATAATAGAACAGTTGGGTTGGGTTGGGTTCGGTTGCTTGGTGATTGAACGGAGTCTGTATTTCACTATACTGCTCCCTGACAGTAAAAGTGTAATTAGATCGATTAGCTGTTCTATTTTTGGCAGGTGAATCCATCGGGTGAATAATTTATTTGCAATTAAACTAAATGAGCTTCAAGCGGGGCATAGCTGAGTCATATAAATTGCGTTGTAGAATGAAGCGAATTTATTTAAACAGTTGGGATTTTCTTAATATTCAAATCACAAATGTCTTCAATTATAAGTTAGTTAGAATCAATGGTTGTGGGTCGGTTGAAAGTTTTTTTCGATTTCCCTGAGCATAGACTATAAATGTGCTTGCCACACAATATACAAATTCATGCCATGGTTGGCATATAAAGCTCTCGGTTGATAACTGTGGAAGTGCTTCAAGGGAATTCAATTGAGAGCAGGCCATGTTCTTCTTCCAGTTTTATGAAACTATATGAATTATCACATATCTCTGTTGTTCATTACATACCAAGTGAAAACATAATCATATTTTGTCTAGTGTTGTGGTTTTGAAATACTCGATTACCATGGTGGGATCATTTTGGCTTACAGAGCAGAAAATCCTTGGTAGTATTATATTCTTATATTCTTCACAGCATATATATTCATTGGGTCAGGATGGGACCATCAGGGCCCCTGATTGAAACGTTTTGGATGGGGAGAGTGGAATTGCCAACTTCCTGTTGTTAACATTTCGTGAATTGAAGGTGGGCTCTTCTCCCCACTCATTGGGACATTGTTCTGTATCGGGTTGGAGCATTTTTTTTATCATTAGAAGGAGATTCTTCTTGCTCCCGTGGATCACACGAAAGTGACTCTGCTTACGGGTCCATCCTTCATTTTTGGCCCTTCATACAATGGTAAATTGAATACAACCAGGTTTCGTACCAGTCCTTTATCTAATGGCTGTGCCCTGCAACAATGAGTGGTATTCTTTACATAAAAACCATATTGATCCACCGGGCAATAACCTTTGTTACACAGTATAATCTCGTTTTTGATATTATCCATAGATATACGATGCCTTAATGGATATTTTTATTTTTATTGGTCTCAGTTTCTGCACTGCTCAATTGAACAGCAATTGCTAGTTTGAATTGGAGTTCAAATCATAATTCAATAATCAATTGATTTATGTCTTCACGTTTATTTCCTAACATGACAATAATTTTTAGATATAATTGTGGCTTATCTATGTGGAGCTGATATGAGTTTTACGTAGTGCGAAGTGTATAGAAATCACTTTCTGTTTCTTGGCTTATAACTGGAGCATTAAGTGTGCTGATTCAGGCGCAAGCTAACTATAGTCGCCATATTTATAGTCTGGCGGATAGAATTTCGATCTATCAAAAAGCGGAACCAGGTCATTTTCTGAAAAATCTGGAGTCTAAATATAAAATCGGGAATGCTCCAAAAAATCCTGTTTTTAACATGATGCTATTGAAATCAAAGTGATGTGTCAATCTCCCGTAAAAATCGGTCAGGTTGATCATCGGGAATTTATTCAAAGTCTACCAGAATGTTTATGAAATCCATGTTTATAAATGTATATACAGCCAACTTGTTAGAATTGCTAAAATCATGCAAAAGTTAAGAAAAGTATTGGCACAGTGTTCCCAAAAAGTTTAAATATCCATTACGCAGCATTTCAAAATTGATTTAAATTTTTGGTAAAATACTGCAGAAAATATTTTTAAGGTTCTGAAGCAGCAGAGAGTCATGCAACTTTGATGGGATGATTTTTTTAAACTAATAGTCGATTTAGTCCTTAATATTTGATGCAGTACCAGAATATGTCTTACAGATTTTATTAGTTCTATAGAATTCTAATATTACTCTGAGATTGATCAGACTTCCAATTTCATTCTTGACATCATTCAACTCACAACACTCGGTAGACCAGTAGGCAATTTTATTTCATGCTAAAATTCACCTGGCTGAAGTGAGAATCAAAGCCTAACATCGTGGTACTCACGCACAGTTTACCTAAAGTACGGGTTACTCCTCATGACCATTACAAATAATTGTATGCCAAATAATAATATTATTATTTAACTAAAATGAAAGTTTGAAAGCGTCATTTTCGAAGCCTCAGGATCTTGAAATAATTCTAAATTCTGGAATTTATATTTTTCCTGTGTCCCACATCATGAATTTTTTTGTTAGTCTGAATGTACTACATTTACAGAGCTCAATTTTAATCATCCTTAAATTTCATCATACTTCTATTCTGTTTTCAGTAACATTCTAAGAGTGCTTAGAATTATCTCTTGAAATCTTTTATAAATCGCTCTCTAATTCCACAATTTCCTCAAACTGGTAATAATTTCCAAGAATTGGCATAATTTTGTCTCAATTTTTCTCTATGAAATTTTCTAAGAATATTGTTAATAATTTCCTTGGTACGCTCTTCAGAATGACCGTCAAATTCTTCTCAGACTTATCATCTTCAGTATACTCCAAGTATTGAAGTACTTTGCCAAAATACCCTTGAAAGTCACGCAGAAATTTCAAAAATTTATTAAAGCTTGATAAAACCTAAAGGGTGTCCACGATGAAATTGCCACACACAAAATTGATTCGCAAAATTCGAGTTTTCATCCGATTGCCATCAAATTTTCAGGGATTGAGAAATAACTATTAAACTTCATTTTGCCATTTTACTCGTATTTTATTTACAGTCCATACGCAAATGCCCGCACCTTGGCCTTAACCCCGGCCATAAGATTCTGCACAACCTGTGAATCAACCGTTTTTTGCATGTAAACCCATACTTTCTTCAGTTCCTCGACTGTCTTCACTACCTTAGGTCGTTTAAGAAGGTGCTGCTTCATAATCGCCCAGTACTTCTCGATGGGGCGGAGCTCCGGAGTGTTGGGAGGGTTGAACATTTTCGGCACGAAATTGACCTTATTGTCCGCATACCACTTCAGCACGTCCTTGAAGTAGTGGCATGAGGCCAAATCCGGCCAGAAGATTGTTGGGACGTTGTGGGCCTTCAGGAGAGGAAGCAGCCGCTTCTGGAGGCACTCTTTTATGTACACCTGTGCGTTCATCGTGTCCTGGGTCACGAAAGGTGCACTCCGCTTCCCGCACGTGCAGATGGCTTGCCAAACCAGGAATTTCTTCGCAAATTTGGACATCTTCTGAGTGCGGACATGCTCCGGAACGCTGAACTTATCCTTGGCCGTGAAAACAGGTTGCCGGGGATCTGTTTGAAGTCGGCCTTCACATATGTTTCGTCGTCCATGATGCAGCATTCAACTTTCGTCAGCATGTTGAGGTACAACTTCCTGGCACGGGTTTTGGCGGACTTGTTCTGCTTCTCGTCGCGATTAGGGGCCTT